GGACACAGACCCATTGTTACCAATATCATGCACGTGAGCTAAGAGATCATTCATATTCCAATTTGTGTAGGGGATATCATTGTAATAGGGACAATTCCACCACCCGTTTTGATCTCTAACTTTCAAAGCATTAGCTCTTAGCATTATTTCCGCTTCTTCCATTATATCCCACATCTCATCACGCTCTCAATCTTCATCTATATATGAAAATATTTCTTCATATATTGGTTTCTATAGTATTTTCCGAGCACGTTGATTACAAAAAAGAAAAAATAGATTGTGGTCATTGTGAAAATATTAATAGAATTTGTAGTTTTTTCTAACCAAAATACATACATTTGTATTTGATAAACTTGATAAGTCACCACGGTCTCTAACACTCTTATTCATGTTTTTCAATTGTGAAAATTTTGTGTTCATGGATAGTTGAGGATAGAATGATTTTGTAAGATTTGAGAATGTAAAACTAGTCGTTAAACTAACCGTTATAAAGTGATAAATATGATAGTTGACACTTTTCTATAAATTTGGCATATGTAACCAAACAAAAGAAAAGGAAAACTTGACATTTCTATAAAGTAATGAGCCCCATTTTCTTGTTTTGAACCAAACAAAAGCAAAATATAAAAAACAAGAAAATTTGTACTTTTTGACTTCTCAAAACTTTTCCTATAATCTTTTTAAGAAATACAAGGAAATCTATATTTTGGGTGTTTTTCTTTTCCTATAATTTATAGAAATTGAACCAAACACCCCATAAATGTACATTCTAAATAAAATGTCAATTATTTCATATTCTTTCCAAATACAAATACGTGAAAATAATATGTTTTCATATCACGTGTATTTGCACTTGTCGATTTCTAATTGTTAATAGAGAAATAATAAATGGTTATAGCCTAATTTTATTAGAATAGAGTACGATAGAACACTAAGAATAGCACAGGAGATCAGCAGAGATGTAGGTTGCTATAGGAGAGCTTACAACTCAGAGTAAGCTTACAAAATAAGATATTGTCTATATGATTTGCATGAGTGCCAAAATGCAGCATGTAGAGCTCATTTCATAGATAATATTTGTTGCTCACAAACATGTTCTATTCTTATTCTTAGTGCATCGTTTGTTTGTTGTCCAAAGAACATAGTAAACTGCTGTTATTAACCACCAAGCTGATAGGTCAATGTAAAGTGAAAGAAAAAGGCTAAGTATATACTACTTTTTCTATATTACTTTGACACTACTACTCTAAGTATATACTACTTTTTCTATATTACTTTAACACTACTACTCATAATGGTGTGGGGGCCACACTTAAAAGTTACAGTAATGACTCATAATAACCTCAATGATCCTTTAATATGTGATAGATAGTACCAAAATAATAGAGAAAATATAGTACAATTGTCACCACTCAAAGTGAAATTCTAAAAGGAAAACGCTTTTTGGCTCGCGCTTTAACGCGCGAGCCAACTCGCGCAGAGACAAAGGGGTGGGACCCACTGTGCTAGTGGGGCCCACCCCCCTGTTCCTGTGCGAGTTGGCTCGCGCGTTAAAGCGCGAGCCAAATAACAGTGTTGATTCTAAAATGGGATGAATTGGAAAGAACGCTCACATGTGTCGGAATAATCAATAAAAAAAACTAATTTTACCAACACCATTACGTGATCTTTGTATTCGTCATTTTGATGAGTGTTTTTTTTCATTTTAGTCCTTTTAATACTGCAAATTGTTAGAGGAGAGTTTTTTTATTGGGGGTTGGGGGGGTAGGGGTGTCCATTTGGGCCTGAGGCCTGGCCTCGGCCTGGTGTCCGGACTCGACCTGGCCGGGCCTGGGAAAAACTCGGACTCCTCGGCCGAATCGGGCTTCGGGCCCAGGCCC